GTACATCATCATCATCAACATCATCATTGACAGCATGACATCAGTGTTCAACACCGATGCTTCACTGCCGTACAACCATGACTTATTTGAAAGCCTTATTGTAAAGAAAAGAGTAAGGGTGGACAAGGGAGGGACTTAGTGCTAGCTTAACACCATCATTCCGAGGTGCCTACACCTCCAGACATTCACTCAGGCAATCTGGACAGAAACTGACAACAAGAACGCCACTGACGTTGATTTATAGACATATCTTGTAGTGTCTTCAGCCATGCACAGTGAGGATCACGCGGTCCCCATCCTGGAAGGCGAGTAGCACCAACAGCACCCAAGCGTTTCATGATCCCCTTCATTCTTCTCTGCCATCTCAAGGGTTGGCCACCTCTCTCCATGCCCACTCTGAGTTGGGTATGGAAAACAGCACTCTCTTCGGCAAACGATGGCTCGGCATACGTAACACATGTCTCAACCAACGCAGCTTCTGGTACTGGATACATGCTTCAATTGAAGTACCCGTTATACAACCGAAAACACGCTCTTTAACTGCCTCGTTACGGATTCGCCGACACCAACCCATACGGGCTATGGTCCTGAGACAACGATTGTCGAACACCTGAAGACGTCTCAGGTCCGCCGCTCGAATAGGCCAAGTCTCACAGCCATACAGCAAAACAGCCCGTACTGTAGCTTGATACACACGTCCCTTCAGATTCAGGGATAAACCATTCTAGCAAACGCGGCCTGAGCCTTGTAGATTCGTGCACTCACCTCATCTGCCACACTACGGTCAGAACTAATACAACTTCCCAGATACGTAAAACGCTCCACAAGTTCCAGTGCCTCTCCCTGGATCGTAAGTGGTGTGTTCAGTGACTGCACGTCTACAAGCATGACCTTAAACTTTGTGGGTGCAAAGTGCATACCAAAGGACGGGATGACTTTGGTCAGTTCATCCAAGAATGCTTGCGCCTTTTCCTCCTCTTCGAACATGAGAACGATGTCGGCTGCATATTCCAGATCGACAAGGTTTTCTTCACAGGCTATTTGAACACCGGGGTTTTGGAGACCCTCCAGTGTTCGTCTCATTATTTCATCGATCACAAATTTGAAAAGGACTGGAGAGAGTGGGCATCCCTCACGGACACCGCTTTGTGTACGGAAGCTTCTGGAGAGCTCTCCGTACACTCTCACACGTCCGGAAGTCTGACAATACAAAGAACGTATTATGTTTACAAACTTCCGGGGCATTCCTTGATGGGCAAACGTCTCAAGAAGAACAGATCCATCAACCGAGTCGAATGCGCCTCGGAAGTCCAGGGATACTATAATCGTGGGTCGCTTATACCCGATGTACGCGTCCTTGAGCTCCTTCCATCGGTATGTAACTCGAACCCAGAAATTTTTTGCACCATTTTTGTTCCGGAATCCAAGAAGCATCCTTCATCTGAGGACCTTGGTTACCCCAGATAACCATGGGTTATTGGAACCATATCCCAAGTGACTGGTACCAACATGTTCTCGAGCAGATCGGAAAGATAGTAGGCATTCTTCCAGAGGGAATATGCCCATCTACATAGGTCGCCCCCTTCTTTGAAGCACGTAGGACTTCAGAACAGTTTCTGCTGATCTTCCCGTTAGGATCACCATGGGATGCGACCGATATCTTTGCCCCAGTCCCTCCAAGAAAAACCCAGATTCGTAATGACACCAACAGCAGCCTATCCCAGTTTGCCGAATGTAAACCGTCATATCTTTTCCTAACGCACGAAGCAACTAATTCAAAGGTCAACGGTTACCTCATTCTCCAGGAGTATGCCGAACCACCTATTCCACACGGACCCCATCGACGTTACAACAGCAGACATACGTGCTGCAACAGGCTATATTCCTTCCACACGTAGTAAGTGTACCTGTATTTCCAATGCGTGCCACGAAACCTGTCCCCGCTGCTAAAACATCTGGATTTGCCGTCACAAATAGACTAGACCTTACTGTGGTGTGACGAGTTGTGTGCCTCCATGACCCATTGAGTTATATTGGGTAGTGTCCGTGTGACACTCAGTCTCACGCCAGATTGGTCAGTAGCTGAGTACTTCGAACATGAGAACGATGTCGGCTGCATATTCCAGATCGACAAGGTTTTCTTCACAGGCTATTTGAACACCGGGGTTTTGGAGACCCTCCAGCGTTCGTCTCATTATTTCATCGATCACAAATTTGAAAAGGAATGGAGAGAGTGGGCATCCCTCACGGACACCGCTTTGTGTACGGAAGCTTCTGGAGAGCTCTCCGTACACTCTCACACGTCCGGAAGTCTGACAATACAAAGAACGTATTATGTTTACAAACTTCCGGGGCATTCCTTGATGGGCAAACGTCTCAAGAAGAACAGATCCATCAACCGAGTCGAATGCGCCTCGGAAGTCCAGGGATACTATAATCGTGGGTCGCTTATACCCGATGTACGCGTCCTTGAGCTCCTTCCATCGGTATGTAACTCGAACCCAGAAATTTTTTGCACCATTTTTGTTCCGGAATCCAAGAAGCATCCTTCATCTGAGGACCTTGGTTACCCCAGATAACCATGGGTTATTGGAACCATATCCCAAGTGACTGGTACCAACATGTTCTCGAGCAGATCGGAAAGATAGTAGGCATTCTTCCAGAGGGAATATGCCCATCTACATAGGTCGCCCCCTTCTTTGAAGCACGTAGGACTTCAGAACAGTTTCTGCTGATCTTCCCGTTAGGATCACCATGGGATGCGACCGATATCTTTGCCCCAGTCCCTCCAAGAAAAACCCAGATTCGTAATGACACCAACAGCAGCCTATCCCAGTTTGCCGAATGTAAACCGTCATATCTTTTCCTAACGCACGAAGCAACTAATTCAAAGGTCAACGGTTACCTCATTCTCCAGGAGTATGCCGAACCACCTATTCCACACGGACCCCATCGACGTTACAACAGCAGACATACGTGCTGCAACAGGCTATATTCCTTCCACACGTAGTAAGTGTACCTGTATTTCCAATGCGTGCCACGAAACCTGTCCCCGCTGCTAAAACATCTGGATTTGCCGTCACAAATAGACTAGACCTTACTGTGGTGTGACGAGTTGTGTGCCTCCATGACCCATTGAGTTATATTGGGTAGTGTCCGTGTGACACTCAGTCTCACGCCAGATTGGTCAGTAGCTGAGTAACCAACACAATCTCCTGGTCCTCCAGGTTGGGGGTTAGAACATGTATGGCGGCTTGTTCTATAAACGTTAAAATGCATTTGCATTTCCCATCAAATACCACTGCTTTGCGGTCAGGCTTTTGAGCCAAAGGCTTTGGTCGAGGACCATAAACTTCCTTCTGTGTAGATGTGGGCGCTTTAGCAGTATCCAAGCCCGCGTACAACCATGACATTTACAGCTACCAATACTCTAATGCCACATCGGACGTCACGCATCACCAGCTGAGTCGCCTTGCTTGCTGCATAAAGCAGGGCGGGTAAGCAAAAACAAGCTATTGTTGACGCCTCCATTCTTACAATCCCCTCTTCTAACCTGCCCCACTCATCTTTTAATACTGTCTCCGCAAGTCCCAGCACTAGGACTGGCCATTTCACTCGCCCTGTATCATACTCATCTGGTACATTCGACTTTAACATCAACCTTAAACACTTCGAAGTCCGCCTCTGCGAGGTCTCTTTGGCAAAGTCTGTGAGATAATCCAAAGAAAGTGACGTCCACCGGACCCTGTTTGTTGTCTACATACGCCCCCACTGACTGTAGCTCTGAATTTGCCAGACGGTTTCCATGAGACTCCAGGTTATTTTTTACAACGGGCTAAATGATGAGGTATCGTTACAGAGTGAACGCCTAGGTAGGCAGACTAAGCGCTGCTGATGCTAAACTCGACTCATGGACAACGGAGATCGCCTGCTTCAGATGTTACTGAACACAGGCTATTCCTTAGAAGTATCAATTTCTTGGGCAGCGGAAATCGCTTGGCAACGTGGTGCTCACCGGAGAACCACTCCCGAATCCGAATACACCAAATCGTGGTCAGTTGTCGGTGGTGAGGGCCGATCACCACCTACCGCTCTTTCTAGAACACCAGCGTGGACTCCGACAATGCACATGTACACTGGTGCTTTTTATTGCGTTTTTCAAGTATACGCAAAAATGCGCACACCCCGCTTAATCACTGAGAAGCTTGTGGACCGGGAAGATAAAACGAAACTATCAAAACCGGCTACTCGAACGCCTGCCGGACGGTGCGATATACAGTTTAAACGGTCACCCGGGAAGGACATCCAAACCACTTCTCAGAGCCGGAACTTCTGTTTGCGGTACAACCTAGTAAACCTCATCCAAACATTGGATATCCGACAGGACCGCGTCTTAGCTGGAGGCCAGGCGACAGATTCACCCCTGACCGCAACCACAACACCATCCGACGCCAACTGGAACTCGGTGTCAATGAAAGCTTAGTGGACCGAAAAGGTCGAAAAAAAGAAAGATGCGAAAAATGCTAGAAAAGCCCCAGCAGTTCCACTAAATTTGTTCGCCTGGTTCTCGGAAGCCTCTTGTCAGTAAAATTATTAGGGACTAGAATTTCTCCCTGATATCCACCGGACCAGAACGCTTGCGCTGCTGAGCACAGACGTTCGAACAGAAATTTAGTTGGCCACCAGCTACATCCGGAATCCTGGCCTCCGACAAAAGGGTGGACCTTGAGTAAGAGCCACCTTCAACATCAGAGGTCTTCGAGTGCATCTCCGACCAAGCGTTATCGAGTTACTGCTCCTAATGACTTTCCACCTGTTATGTTCAAAGATGGCGGTGGGTTTCTCAGCCACCTGTCTAGCCTATTTAGGTCTATCCGGGAAAGAGACAGTCCCCGATAACTGAGATGAAGCAATATTAGTACCCATCCTTCGAAAGGTACTCACAGTGAATATAGTCACCACAGAAGTGTTAGTTTGATTCCTGTTGGGTGCTGTTGGTTTCACGCATTCCAGGATGAAGTCCCCGTGGACCTCCCAGCGCTCGGCTGAAGACATTGCAAGAAATAGCGGTTGATCGATGTCAGTGGCGTTCGTGCTGTTAGTTTCTTTCTAGATTGCCTGACTGAGCGCTCGGAGGCGTAGGCACTTCAGAATGCTTGACATAAACCAGGACTAGGTCCTTCCTTCACCTACTATTTTCTTCTTTCAACTCCAAGGCTTCAAATACAATTAGATGAACTTTATGGTTGTACGGCAGTGAAGCATTAGTGTCGACACTGATTTTACCGTCTCTGGTGGTGATGTCGCGTATTTTAACAAAATGAACGGTTTCTTAGAATAGTTAGCTGTGTAATATAGTCGATATGCGAATTCATTAGTGGAACCTCGTAATCTCCCTGTACCTGCACGGTTTGTGCTCCCTTTTTGGAAGCAAAATGGGAATGAAATCTGGAGGAAGAATCAAAATGGAACTGGTAATTACGCATAATAACATATGATGACTGCTGTAGGTGAGATATTTCGAAATAACTAAGAAACTTGCAGGTCTTTACCTCAGACAAACGCTGGCTGACAATTTCCAGGTCCACGTGGCCTACACCGGCCTGGTGGAGAAATCTGTAGTTACATTGGTTGGTAAGGTGATTGAAGGCAAGCAGATAGGAAACATTTATTAACGGACGTTTCAGAGAGTTCTCTCATGCCAAACTTTCAAAAACTGTATCCGAGAGGCATTGAGGAACCAGGCGATTCGTCCGTGAGCGAAAATGATTTGTCCAGAAGTTGTACCTGGATGTGCTGTGGATCGGTTGTGGTACAAGGTAGATAAATAATTCGATAAAACAAGACTGACAGCACCAAATTCATATTGATGTTTCCTCTATTGTTTTAGGTGTCCGCCGAGATGCCATTCGTCAGATGGAAAACCATGATCTGTCAACCGATCATACGACTGTATTCTTACAGCAACACTCGTGTTTCTTTGCGACGTCTTTATTCCGGGAGGACACTGGGTGTTCCAGGTTAACAACCATTAATGAATAACCGTTATATCTGTTACCATGATGAGGTAGGCTCAGGAGTGGGCTCAGTTTATCGCGGGTGCGCAACTGGACGACCGGGACGTTTAACCGATCGGGGTTGTGGCGCCATTTGGCTCGGCTCCGAAATTTAACGAGATGGCACGCGCCACAGTTGGTACAGTTATTCGGCGGTTATTGCTCTGCTTACTGAACAACGAAATAAAGGTGGTCATTGGTATTTTTGATCATGAGCTAACGCCAAACATAATGAGGACTAATGGTGCGAATAACCGCCAACGAAGAAATTTGGCCGATCATAAGCCAGTTGACCGTCCAGTTACTAAGTCTGGCTTTTTCGGTGGTATGTTCTGCTACGTGGGTTGACACTATTACCAAAACCTCGTAAACAACCTCTCGCTGGTTCGTCTCATACAAATTGGACTCGCACGATAAATACCTCATTTTCGACTGTATAGTCGCCGAATGGCGCGGTAGGTATCACTGATTTGTGTCAACAACACTCTCATCACATGCATGTGGAGACCGTGTAAGTCGCCGAGAATCATATTTAAAAAAACGTTACACGTTACACAGAGGCGGAGAGCGACTGGAACAAACACTTAAAAACCCTGTCGCAGAGCACATAAACCAAATTAACGTTCTATTCATCATTAAAATCCTACGGAGCCTTTCATGAACCCCTCACAGGTAAAAAATGACGAGCCAAGAAGTTGTCGTAATAGTGATATTCTGCTACGTGCATGTGTTACAACATTAAACAAATCAACTTATTCGGTTACACATGAGTTAGGCTTCGGCCTGAATACATGGCCCAAGTGGTTAGAGCGCGAATGTACTGACCGGGAGGTCCGTGTTTCGAATCCGACCTCCGCCACTCGACTTCCCCTGTCTAGGCTCGGGCAACCTGGCAGTATCCCAGCCCTCGTGCTTCCTTCGGGTGGCATGGCAGCTAGGCACCGGAAGGGTGCTACAGCTGAACGCTCTCTTTTCTTCTGAATACATGTGAACCTCGGAGGACTTTGATGTCATATTGCAACTAACCCGCCCCATGTAATCGCTTGTACCCAGTTCAGTATGTTCACTACTTGTTTGAACTAAAGGTTCTTTTCGTACCTCGGTTGCCCGTCACTCTGATTAAATTTACGCCACTGAGCTCCCTGATGTAATTCAATGGTCCGCGCGTTAGTAAACAGACGTTTACTAAAAATTGACCTTCATTTAGTGACAAGCGAGCCTCAGAAGAAAACAGTGGTGTATTTCAGAATTACCTGACTATCTGTTCGAACTCGTTCTCCTTGCCGTTCGATTCTTTCCACTTTCTGTACGAAATAGAGGCGTCCACATGAGCAGCTGAGTGTATGTTTGGCTCGTTCAGGAGAGAAATTACGCTTAAAAGAATTGTCCTGGAGTTACGAGATGAGATAATAGTAACTATTACCTACCGGACATTTTGGGTCGGATTCCACCGTTCAGAAGCGAGCTCGTCACTCTGAGGATCCTCACCTGGTGAATGCAGAATGGATATGCAAACTTCGCCATCAGCATAGATGTTGGGGTGAAACATCTTAGTGAGGAACTGCATGGAGGGCGGACTATAGGGATAATCAGGTGGGAAGAAAAGACGAGCCTAAAGAGTAGAAAAACGGATGGAAAAAGTACCTTGAAATAGCCTCCTTCATAGAGCGTCTTCGGGGGCCCAAATATTGCAACATCCCATACAAACATGTTCTCAACTGAAGATATATTAACTTTGAACCCCTCTACTGGGGTCGCATTGAGTTCCAACAACTCTTTCTGGAGAGCTTTAACAGCGCTACTCTGCGGCTTTTTCGACGCCATGAATAGGTCACAGGTCTGAGTCCGCGGGAGACCTAACTGTAATCCCGTACGTGATTGGTCCGTAAATTCGCTCATATTAGCCGGCTCCAGAGACCAGTGCGTCAAGTCAAAGCCAAGTTGTCTTTATGCTTGTGCGCCATGGCCTTGGGCTTTGCGCAAGCATTTTGAGTTTGATGCTTTTTTGTTTGCTTGCTGCTTTAGGTCTCACGGACTGATAGGCTGGAGGCGTTTGGTCCAGCTTCCTCAGGCTTGTCGCCATTCATGCATTCACAGATTGATACACAGGATCCAGGCACTTGCCCATGTTTCCCGGGTCGGTTTTGTTCTTGTCGTTCGCTTGAAAGGCACAAGTAGAAAAAGGTGTGGTTGCTGGGTCAACTGTGAAAAACCTGCTGACCAAACTTTGTTAAAACAGGTTATAAGTATGAATTAGCCCCCCCCCCCCAGATGCCAGGACACTCCAGGGGAAGGAGATCAAGCACCGCGAGGCTCGTTTCATAGTCCACGGATTTGAGGCCGGCAACCATTTCCGTAGCGGCCTGCTGGACATGCTCAATAAGGGTGACGTCTTTCGTGCATCATGAGCAGACAACATGGCAAGGAACGTGTGGGACCCGATCAAATAATTTTGAGAAGTCGAAAACTATGGAATTTGATATGAGTCTCTCGTTTTTAGCTTGGGTTAAGCTGTCCATAATACGAGCGACACACAATGGCGGTTGGGGCGAAATCCGTGTTCAGCTGGAGGTGTCAGGTTGCTGGATGTAAGGTGATCTAGAATAGCTCCCTGTTGAGTGCGTTCCATCACCTTGCACGGCACGCCAGTGAGGCTTATAGGCCTGTAGCTGCCAGGCCTGTCACCAATTTTGTAGGTTGGCATGACAATAGCTTCCTTCCAAGCAATCGCTTCTTTCCAAGCAATCGCTCATCTCCAAGATTTTGGAGCAGACTTAGGCTGCCATAGACACGTCCAAAATACAACATTTTAAAGTTTGTACCGCGCATCAGGTCCAAAACGATTAATGAATTCTGCCCTAATGAACCACTGCACGTTGAGCAACATCGTATCTACCTTTCATTATTCCGAAATGATCTCAGTTTATTTGTTTGCCTTCTCCTGGAAGTTAATCGAAGCGATTTCGCCAGGACCGTAATGCTTCCAAATTGAGATGCACGCTTAAGTGGCAGGCCAACAATAGTTTGTTAGCTAAAGTATTTCGAGGCTGATGGCTGTTGTCTGCTTTACCATATAAAGAACATCCGAATATCAGCCGTCCATGACGTTTTTGAAATTGGAGCTAACTTTTACTTCACTCGGTATTTGCACAATGGAATCGATTTCTTGTAAACTACGACATTTTCAGGGTTGCGACTTCATAGTGTAGAATGGCTATATAGGAAATTATTAGGCAAATCATCCGTACTGGTGATTTGTTTAAGTGAGCGAAACTCAACGGTCAATAAACCCCGACTCTAAATAGGATGCATAAAGTAGTAAGAAATCGCGAATTGCGGAAATAGGTGAGTCACTTTGAAAGAAGTATAATTTCAGATAATCTCGCAGCTAAAACATTTCGCCAAACATTCTGGAGACCACATGGCCCCTGTGGATGCGTAATGTGTGGCTGATCCACTTTTGTAAATATTTTTGTGAGAATTAAATTTCGTACGCATACCGGCATACCAGAAATCCAGAACTCAGCGAGGCGTAAAAACCAGCACGTGTTTATTCGAATTGGCGAATATGTACCGCATATGGAATATTAACACAAGAGAATAATGAATAGAGCCGTGAATAGAGTATCAGTCATGCTGATCACATTTTTGATCGATACTTGCTTCTACGAGTTCAAGTCTCGGAAGCCACATTCATTATTGGCTGAAAAATCATGCAAGTTCGTTGTTAAACTGCAAGATGTTCCCATATAACTTGCGAAACATGCCAAGAAGACCATGATGTCGATCAAAGCGGAGAGTTGGATGGACCAAACCCACGTTCACGACTAGGATCAGGCCAAAGGTCCACGCGCCCATCCATCTATTCCTGGAGAATTCGAATGTTCAGCCTGGACGAGTAGAATATATGAATTTTATCGGTCTTTTTGAATACTGCATATGTCCAGCTGGGATGTGTGCGGTCTCCTTTGTGCGGAATCTTCATAGAGCTACTGACGCCCTGTAATGGGAGAAAGATACAAGATAGAAAGTTACAAGATACAGGTTATCATAATATCACATCTACTCATGGCAGTCAGGTGATTCCTGATTGGATCCGAAAATACGGACACACACGAAATTCCGGAACACACCGTGCTTAGATTCCGTGCCTTGGTCCAGATCAAATTCATAAGACGCTTTGTTTGCGGACCGGGTAGCAAACAGACCTTTGCGTTTTCTGGATGGGCCGGGAGTGAGAAACAAAAGCAATTTATTCTTCTGTGGACTCACCTTTGGGACAAGACTGAAGAGCAGCATAACACAGTAAGCAAGTCGACGTGATATGACGCGCCGTTTGTCGAACATCGGTGGTCACAAATACTGGTTAGCCGGTCATAAATCACAAATAAGTCTGAGTCTGTGTCTCTGGACCGCCATCTGGGCTGGGGTGCACAATCCCCAATCACCGACGACAGTCCGTCACTCGCAGATGTTGAGCCTTGACACAGCAGGATTTGCCAAGGAACGGTCAATCGCCTAACGATGGCTGTTGCCATTCTGGGTTCCAGACACCAAAGTTTCTCCACCGCTCGGTTCAGTTTATAACGCTGGCCGTCCGAAGCAGTCTCCTGCTGTTTGTAAAATGTATAAGGGGTACACCGTTTTTCGGTAGCTTGTGGTCCGGCGACCACTGCTGGTGGATGGAAGTTCAATCTAAGAAAAGATCTACGAAGAAGAGTATTTACCTTTTGGAACCGACTGATCTCCAAATACGGAGAACAGATGTATGCAGAGTGATCACGTCGCCTGGTAGAAAGGGAATGCGCATTCTTCAGCACAGGGGTGTTTGCACTACCAGCTATAAGTTAGTTTACTTAGGTTAACCCCACCTTCCTCGTTCCAACGCTATGTTTTTGCAGCCTTGGCGTTTGCGGCACCAAGTTCCTCAAAACTAGTGAAAATGCATACGTATTCATTCGACGGACCACGCTCAGAACTTTGCCATCACCTCCAGGATTCCCCGTAAGCCACAGTCATACGACATGTGCATCTCAAACTCCCACATGAGCCACTCGGTGTGCCGGGACACTTTTTGTATGGCATGCTCCAGTGTGTACACCAGTGCACACAACCCGCGTTACGCCTGAATGGCTCACTTGCCACATATGTACAGCCAGTGGGCAAATCAGTTTCCGGCTCCTTGGAGGATTTCTCAATGTAAGTAGAAACTACGTGGTTGTTATCCGGTTATTCTGCCGCGTAACCAAGGCAGGTCTGGAGATGGAATGTGCCAACTACCACCAGGAATATGCTAAAAAGACGAGGACAACGGGATATTGAACCGCTTTATTTCTCAGAACAACATTGTAGTGACTGCCCGAATCTGCGAATTCACGTCCGCGACTGTTGGCTTACTGAACTACTTACTGCCCATTCTTTATGCCCTTGAAAAAAGCGAACAGCTCACCCAAATCAAGGCTTACGGCTCCTGGAAAACGTGGAGGTAGTCCTGTTTGATGCGCGCGCAAAATATGTGCGTGGCTGAAGCGGCCATCGCCAGGTTCCCCGAAAAGACAGATGAGTGGGCCTTCATCCATAAAACTTCAGAAATCGACCTTATAAAAGACGGGGGTCAGCACCTGACGGTCTCATTTTAGAAACTCTGTGTGGCCAGCACTTTTTCCAGCTAACAGTTTGCATATCTGGTTCTGGTAGTTGATTTCAACTCTCCAAAATCCTTCTGGAAGTATCGTCGGCACATCGGGTCGAGCAGCCAATTCGGATCAACGCCGACCAAAGTCGTTCATCAATTCGTCATCACTCAAAATTTTGCCGCGCACACCAGATCTCGCGCAGGCAAACTGCAGTCCTAAGTGAATTTTATCTTCAAAGAAAACCGTTCGTTGATCGAGCTTTACTAGGACGCAGTGACCACTGAGTGCTGATTCTTGATTTAATCTGCTGTTGGGACGGAAATCTGGAACATCAAAGTTGGGTTGAAGAGTCTTCTTTACATACTTCACACAAATGCGCAACGTTCTTGATCAACTTGAAGTGAACCAGCTTCAGTTGAGGAGACATACATGATTGTTGCGCTGAAACTTCATGAGGCTGACGCGACAGTTGTCTAAGAAACCTTCGCATAGTCCGTGGACCAAAGGCTACTTAACAACACTCGGAGGCCTCTGAAAAATAGGACCCAACCATTTTTCAGAAGGGCAGACAAAGGTGGCACAGAGGATGAGAAGGAAGTTCGCAATATTCGAAACCGCAGAAACCACTACAATAAACCTCGCCTGAAAAACGAGCTGGTAAACTACCGGAAAGGACCAGAGGATTTCTCCTTGAGAAACAGTAGAGTAGAACCCACAAGTGAGGTTGGAATGGTACCTGAAGTTTTCAGAGAGCATCATGCAAGCGTTCATTCAGATTCAGCCACCTCGCAACGTTCGGTCATGTCAAGATGTGACTGCGAACGACCTCTAACCAATTTGGTCTTCGTGGAGGGGGACACTCGTCAACTCTTGCATAAGACAAATCATTTCAGCGTGTCGTGGTCTGACGTAGCTCATCCAGGAATTCTGAAGAAAACTTCGGTCAGTTGTCAAGGAATTTCCACTTGGTGTCTTCTCAGCTGCTCGACACAGGCAAATATCTCACTGCCTGAAAGGAAGCGATTGTGAAGCCAATCTACAAAACTGGTATCCGACGGTCGCCCGGGAGCTACATTTTTATTAGCATCCCTAGTCTCTACCCGATAGGAACCATGAGCACAATTCGAAGCGGACCATTTCACATCCTCTCAGTGCCGAAAAACTTGAATCTCCAGCGTAACAAAATTTCCCCGAGACTGCTGTTGCGTGACAAACTTGCTCATATTTATGGGCAGATAAAACCGAACTAAGGACTTAGATCAG